AGTTTAGAGATTTTGATTTTTTTTGTAAAATTTAAAAAGAATAATTAAATAAATGTTAATACACCCAAAAGTTTGTTTTTTCAGTGCAGGCTGGCCAAAATTTCTCCACATCAAGGCAAATTCAAGATGGCTGACTCATCTTACCTGAGGGAGAGATAAGACCCACCCACCAGAACGTCATGACGTTGATAACCTAAACCATTTGAGCGTTCCACACAAATTAGCTATAAAACATTGAGCCCTATTCAGTTAAAGTGGCATAAATCTCAACAGAGCTCAAAACTTTATATGGTCAACTCCATAACGACATTTGAGTGTTGTGACCTTATTAGTTATGAGCTAGTACAACTGTTTGGGATTACAGTGTACCTGTGTTTCCTGGTATTTATTTTCCTTTGTACCTATGTTCTTCACTACCTCTCCTTGAGTTAATAACGGAAGTCAAGAAATATTTTTAATACCACWGAAAAAAGTACTAAATTACAATTAAATTGGATGCATTGTACCAGAGAGAACATWGTACCAGGGAATCTAGGTACCTTGGAACATACAGTAGGTGCCAAGGAAAACAGGGATGACCCCTTGAGATGCTATTAATTGGAGGCCAATCAAGAAAGCACAATTAGGAGTTCAGTAAAAGGCATACGACTCTACAAAAATGTATTAAAAAATAGTAAGTATAGTAAAACTGAAATCAAGAAAAATGAAAAGCATGGAGAATACATCAGCGAGAACAACATCCTATTTTTCATCAAAAGGCCCTGAAAATTTATTAAAATAAGATGAATGGTGGTAATCAGAGTCACATTCTTAAGGAAACCCTTCATTAGTCTACCAGAGACCTGAGACTGGGACAGATTCATTGATCATTCAGAATACCAATGACCTTGAGGATTCCACTGAAGCAACACTCCGGTGGTTTAAGGGAACATATTTAAATGTCAGGATGAGCAGCTCAAATCCCAAACCTCAGTCTGATGAGAATATCCAATATAGGTTGGTCTACACCAGCATTCAGAACCCATTCAGCTAGAAGACGTTTGCACAGTTCTGCCTCGAGGAATGGAAAAAAAAAAATCCCAGTGACTAGATGTTCTAATTTCAGAGTAAAATATCAAGTGAACAGTTGTTCTGTAGCAAAAATGGGTTAGTCATGTTTTAAGTTTGCATGGCTTAATGATTTATAAAAACATGTTTCTATTTCAATACTTTCCACAAAACCTGCCTTCTTCTCAAAATGTCATAAAAACGACTAACATTTTATGCAACTGAGGGCCGAGCTTTCTCTGAAACTTTTGATTTATGAAGAATGACATTTTTCCCCCCAAAGTATTTATTTTAGCAGAATGAATACATTGTTCAAAACAGCAGAGGGGGATTTCAATAAACGGATGAGGAAAGTCTTAAATACAAAGCAGACAAACTTCTTGCAAGTCAGAGTAAAAATAAATTTGGAGGGAAAAAAATGTCAGACAAGAAACATTACGAGTTGTCTTCAGCCAAACATGTAGCGCTTTTTGATGATTTTTTAGCCAAAATGTCAGAATAAATCAGTCATCAATGCTTTAAAAATGGTTTGAGCTAGAGGAAAACAGGGTTTAATTTGACATTTTTCATACAATTGCTGACTAGCTAGCTCTAATATTTATAGCCATTGTGCTATCTTGTCATTAGGCCAGTTAGCAAGTCATTTTATCTATCCATCTACCACCAGACGAGGCACATAAAATGCATGAAAACAAGAGATGCAGAAGGGATTATATATATATATATATACTGAGACTTATGG